GGATATCCTTGGGCAAAGGAAACTGGATTCGGTGTGATTCACTCCAGTTGATCCTCAGGAATAGCAACTTCATCAGTTCACTGATTTAATCAGCTGCTTCTAGTTGTGTACTGTTGTGTCTCTGTGTTGTATTTAGTTTAGCTATTATGTTATTTATTGATCTTCATTTTTTCCCTTTTCCATTTTCAGGCCATACCATGGTTCTTAGAGGCTACTTGAGCTCTATGCTCAGACATCAGTTCTAACTGTGATGCTGGGGATAGGACCAGAATTCCCAGTTGCAAAACATGTGCTCAGTCCATTGAGTTATCTCTCTGGTCCTATTTTTATATTTTTGGTGGGGACAGGATAGCCGCATGCAGAAAAAATGCCCTTCCCACTATAATGTCGCTCTAGTCCCCCTACTTCTGTTTGCAATTTTTCCATATTCCATATTTTTGTTGTTGTTTTGGGTCAGGTCTGGCCATGCTTGGGGCTGACACCTGGATTTTTTTTTTTTTTTGCTTTTTGGGTCACACCTGGCGATGCACAGGGGTTACTCCTGGCTCTGCACCCAGGAGTTGCTCCTGGCGGTGCTCAGGGGACCATATGGGATGCTGGGAATCGAACCCGGGTCGGCCGCGTGCAAGGCAAATGCGCTACCCGCTGTGCTATATCTCCAGCCCCTGACTCCTGGCTTTGATCCTCACAGTGCTGGGGATCAAATCCAGGTTGGCCACATGCAAGGCAAATATTCTACTCATGGTAGTATCACTCTGGCCCTCAGATACTTTTCCATATTTTCTTTATTGTTTTTTTGGGCCACACCTGGATATACCCAGGGCTTACTCCTGGCTCTGAACTCAGGAATTACTCTGGGTGGTGCTCAGGGAACCAAATGGGACGCCCAGGATCAAACCCAGGTCTGACACATGCAAGGCACATGCTATTTCCACTGTATTATAGCTCAGCCCCAATGTTTCCATATTTTTCTGTATCTTTGTTATGCTTTCCTAATTTTCTCTATCCTTGTTTCTCATATTTTCTCGATCCTTAAGTTTTCTTTAAAAAAAATCAATTAAAAAAAACTTAGGCAAGCATTATTTAAGTGATCACTTGATCACTTGACTTGATCACTTGACATCCTGTTACTCATCGATTTGCTCGAGCGGGCTCCAGTAACGTCTCCATTCATCCCTGTCGCGTGCTAGTGTAGCCCAATGGCGTCTGCTTGCTCCAGGAACACGAAGAGCCTCAAACCATCCGGTCAGGGTCTTGACGAAGTCTGAACATCTCGTAGGTGGGCGGTCACATGAACTTTTGACATCCCGTGGAATCCAGTCGGTAACGGCTCTAGTCCAGCAATCATCTCCAAATCTCATTACATGTCCAGCCCATCTGATTTTCGATGCCTTGGCAAATGAGACAGCATCCCTGATTCTCGATCGTCTATGGAGGTCGGAACTTCGGATTCTTTCTCTCACCTGAATGAAACGTGATACTCAAAGCATAGCTCTTTCGATTCCTCTTTGGGAGACCCGAATAGCGTTCTCATCCTGTTTTTGTAGGGCCCAGGTCTTTGAGGCGTATGTTAATGCAGGAAGAACATCATTGGTCTGACATCATTGGTCTGACTGAGACGAGAAGGCATCAACCATGTCACGCCATTTTCGACACTGGAGAAGAACTGTTCCTCATTGAAATGATATCCCTCCCTTTATAGTGATTTTTATTAGTTTACACTGTTGTAGAAATTCAGGGGTATGGTTTAAGTCCTCTATATATGTACAGAATTCATTCTCACCACTAAAGTTCCAAGCAACTATAGGTGCCATTTGAGAAGAGTGCCTCCCTCACAGGACACCCTCATTTCTCTAAGATTATAGTCCCAGGAAGGAGTGATCATCAGAAGGTGGGTCTGCTCCTAGCATTTTCCAAGAACAGAACTTTCCCGTTAAGTGTAAGCTTCTACTGCCACTGTCTGGATTTTTATTTAAATAATATTAGCCTCCTCCTCCTCCTCCTCTTCCTTCTCCTCCTCCCTTATCTCCTCCCATACCTAGTGATGCTCAGAGGCTAATCCTGGCTCTGTGCTCAGGAGTCACTGCTGGTGGTGCTTGGGACTGGAATGGAGTTGGCCACACGCAAGGCAAGTGCTTTAACACCTCTATTATTTCTCCAGTCCCATCCAGATGCCTTAAGTGTTGCTTTTAAAGGCAGAAAGCAAGTCACAGACAGCACAGTGGTTAAGGCGCTTTCCTTGCATGCTACTGACTCCATTTGACCCCCAGCACTTTAATAGGGTCTCCCAGCTCTGCCAGGAATATTTCTTCTGGCCGTGAACCAACCCCCTGCCACCCTCATCCCCCACAAAGCATTAACCATGTTCATTCAGTGACTGTGATCTCAGTGGTAGCCCTAAGGCAAAGCTGACAGGTACTTCACATAACCATCAGGGTAGTGCTGACCCTGCTCTGAGATCACAGATGGGTCTGACTCAACCCTCCCTAAAGGCTCATATTTCAGGTGCCTGGGTCAGAGGCCTATGTTATTTAGATATTGCTTTGAACTAATACTATGCTTGTGGTCATTAAGAATTGTTTAGTGGCCTCAGACACCCTCAACAGAAGAAATGGGGCATATTTCACACCCCAATAAAAGCTGAAGCCCTTATTTCTTGATTTCTAGTAGTATGCATCTACTCTTGCCAACATCTATCTACTCCACCAGAACATAGCTGTGACTCTCTATTCCGGTGTCCACTTTTCTCTCCATTTTCCACACCTCGTTTTGCCCTTCCCTCACTAGAAGTTCCCAGGTTCTTGGATTTCTGATATGGCTGAGTCACTTCTCAAAAAAAAAAAAGGCTCAGCAACACTTAGTTTGGTTTACACAGGTGGCAGAGTAAAATGTTAAGTTTTTCTTGCACTTTGCCTCTGGGTGGGCAGCGCTTGTCCTGTTTTGTCTGAAAGTCAGGAACTACTTTTTTATATATATATTTTTTATTGAATCACCGTGATTCATGTTACAAAGCTTTCATGATCAAGTTTCAGTCATACAGTGTTCCAACACCCATCCCTCCACCAGTGTACATTTTCCACCACCAATATCCCCCGTATCCCTCCTACCACCCAACCCCGCAGCCTGACTCTGACACACCCTCTCCCTCTACTTTTGGACATCATGGTTTGCAATGGATACTGAGAGGCCATCAGTTTGGTCCTCCGCCCAAGACCTGCCTAGCTGTATTTGAGTACTGTCTGAACGCTACCTGCGAAAACCTTTCTCTACTTTGCACTCCCACCCCTCTCCAAGTTCTGCCAATGAATCAGCATTGATTCACAAAGGGCATCTTTCCAGCCTGTTGCCTGTCCGAGGTCTGTGCCTGTGGAGTAGGGAGGAGTCATTCTAAACTCCCCCTGCTTCACATCTATTTTGGGTCCCAGTATCTCACTGGCTTGGCTCAACACGTCACTCACATCTCATGCTGTTTCTCCAGAGTCACTGGTCACGAAACATGGAGAAGGGTTGGAGGAGGCAAGGTGTTCTCACCAGAAGAGGCGTCAGAACTTAGGGAGTCTGACCCCAAAGTCTTTCTGCCAGCTTAGTATGAAAAATGGGTTTATTATGCTGAGATTTTTGACACCTTGAGTAATACTAGCTGCTGTAATAAATCCCCCTTTCAACAGCTCACTAGAACACCAATCTTTCGTATCATAATATTCTCCTCAAAGTGGTGGGCTAAGGAGCCCTCCACGTCTCTGCCCTCTGGCAGGAGTCAGTCTGCAGTCAGCATCGGAGCTCACAGGCCTCAGGGAGATGCTGCCACAGACCAAACCTGGCAATGGAAATACTTTCTTAAAGGTCAGACCCCGGTTATGGGCCCTAGAGGAAAAGGAAATGAATGTGCCAAGAACCTAAATAATTTCAGCTTGGGCCTTCTGCTATTCTGATATACTTAAGAGACTGAACGTCACCCTAAACTCCAATTTATACTAGTTATGTCTTAAAATACTCTCGAGAAGCTGTTATATGGCTCTTACGTTTTAAAAATGGTTAGCATGAAATTGGCTTCATTAAAAAAAGAGATTTTTGGGTAAATTTTGACTGTTTCCTTTCATGGGGGGAGGGGCCGCACCCAGCAGTGCTGAGGCTACTCGGGGCTCTGCTCAGGAGCACGCCTGGTGGTGCTTGGGGGATTTTATGCAGTGTCAGGGCTCAAACTGGCATTGGCCGCATGGAAGACTTATTTCCTTTTAAAATGACTTGAAGATGGCTCCCCCTTTTACCCTGCTGGGGAACGAATCCAGGGTCCTACACGAAACCCGGAATCTGCCACCACAAAACATCTCCAGTCCCCTAGGATGACTTTTCCATGGTGCTCAGGGACTGCAAAGACGCAAAGCAAATGCTCTAATACTGAGCTATATCCCCTGTCCTATGATGTTTTAAGGCTATAATTTATCACCAACCATGACAGACTTTGCCTAATGCCTTCTGTACATTTATTACAGTCTTTCAAACTTCACAATTAACCTTCGATATAACTACTGAAAAGGCCCGAGCCTTTGTAACACCGTGAATTGGATACAGAGATTAAAAAAAAAAAAATCAAGTCAATTCTTGATTTAAATCAAATATAAATAAACTTCTAATTTGTTTCAAACTATAACCTCAAAGGATAAACAAAACAAAAAAGGAGCCTAAGACATTTGGAAAATTGACCCGTTTTAATTTTTTTAAAAACAAAAAACCAACACATCAAATTATTATTTTCCCACCTACAATTCAATTAGATCCAAATTTTCTAAGACTGAACAGTCTCCTGCCAGAAGCAGGGGGTTAAACTGAGAGCCTGAGTCACAAGCAGTGACCGCTAATGGTCAGAGTTCCAGCCAAGAGTCCCATGTCTTCTGCTCAAACACTCTCCAACTCATTTTCATGTCAGTCTGTGAGTGTTTTATAGGAAGTTCTTTGAAATCATTTCATCCCAGGCACCGGGTTTCTTCAATGATACACACTCCATCCAATTGATAGGTATAAGAACTTTAGTTTTTCTCTCTTTTTGGTAGCGTAGAAGTAAAATTATCAGCAATTCCTTTAGCCATAAATGAGGAAAAGAGAGGAAAGGAAAGACCTGGATTATGCTGGGTGCTGGTTCCGACTTGCCTTTCTGAGGTGTGACTTCAGAAGTGTTAAATCACACTCAGGTCACTACAATGATTAGTACGAGAAATCTTTGTTTTAGATGATACATTTTTAGATGATAAAAAGGAAAATACCCAGTGGATATAAAAATGATCAAAAAAATTTTTTTTAGGATATTTTTTAACCACAGGTCAATTTTCTCCCCCCATACCCTGCAAAGATACAAAACAAATGTTCCATTGGGATGGTAACTCAGAGTAGGACTTTCCGATTTGCAGTTCCTGTTCCCCATGGAGATGAGGGGAAGTGACATTAGGTCTATTAGTAATGTTCTAGCAGAAACCAGATGTGCTGACGGCAGCTTATCTGCAGCCCATCAATCCTCTGAATACATGGAGGAAAGCACGACTGTCCAACTGCCCACATCTGAACATATTCAGCTACCATGGAAACTACAAAGAAAGGAAAAATAAATTTATTCCAAGGTTCATATACTGGGATTTTCATGCGCCTTCTTTTCGGCAGAGCCTCAGAGTGGGGAGAATGCGCTAGGGGCTGCTGTGTTTCCCGGCATGAGCTCCCATCCTCTGAGGGTCCTGAGAAGGATAATGGATTGGTCCTGGAGCCCTCATGAAAGGAGGGGGTGGTCCCATTGGATGGAACATGTGTGGTCCAAAACCTGCAAATGGAGGGCAGACTTGTTAGGATTCCAATTCCCTTGACACTTTACAAATCTCTAATCTAAGGTCACAATCACCAACATATCAATCAGGTTGATACAGTGCATCAGAAATGTCTGTTCCCAAGGCTTGTGCAGGATTGTCTACCTGTATTACTGGGTTTTAGAAACCTTTGCACTAAGTTGAACTTAAAAACACATTCTGCATTCTTCAAGGGACCCGAAACTGTTATCATCTGCACCTCTGTTAGCCACCAAGAGATGCTTATCCTATGAGGATTCAATCAGAATTAGAAGGCAAGAAATCAGGCTTTTCAAGACCATCATTATTACTTTAGCCCTGCATTAGAATGGCTGGTGTTCAGAAATCATATAATGTAGCGACTCTGAGAAGGAGAACTACTTGTGATTTACTCACACTGTTTACACAGGAACTGTTCAGGTCTGGAAATGCTACCATCAACTATGTGAAGAAATTTCGAACATTCCTAAATCCGGAGAATGATCTATCTAAATTTTACCAAATGACATGCTCTTTGAATAGCTGGGGAAACCTGGACATGCATTAGGATTTTTACAAAACTGGCAACTTCTTCCTTTTCGCAGGCCAGGAAAATCCTCTGAATATAGATGCCTGCCTACAGACTTCTATAGGGAAGTTCAAAAGACTTAGACATCTTAGATTTAATGGTGAGGTGTGTCCACAGAAATCTTAGGTGGTTCTTCTGAGCTAACGCGCAAGGACGTACTAAGAAGACATTACCTGGGGGTGGGGGAGGGGCAATACCAGGGGGTGGTGGCAGGGCAATGTTCACCACCGCTGGAGGACCACTTGGGGGCAGGTTGAAGTAGTTGGCAGAGGATTCTTCTTCTGCAGGAGGAGGAGGAAGTGCTGGAGAAGAAAAAACAGTCCATAGTCAGAAGGGAAGGCGAGAGTGTGATGTGGGCTCCATCACCCCAAACGCAGGGGGTCCTGCAGGGCGAAGGGAGTCAGGTTCTGCTGAGTGCCAAGGATGGGGGCAAGATGAGCATCCGAGGCTCTCAGGGTAGGCAGTCTGCACTGACCTCCAGGCAGTCCCGGGACAGGCTCGAGCTTGATCCCAGACTCTGTGGTTCCATCCTTCTCCTTTTCTTTCCCCCTAGCTGCTTGGGACCTAGGACACAGACACATGTGCAATCAGTAAGGATTCAGAACATGCCAGAATTTTGAGGGCTAGGAGGGTGCTTCATCAACACACAGCAAACATTCCTAAAGCATTAATGCCACTAGCACAACTTTATGCTTCCAAAGGAGACACAGGCTCCCCTTGGGATTTTCAGAACATTTACTTGCATCTATTTCTCTAATGATCATTTTCAAGTTATTCTTCTATGTATAATTCTCATCAGCCTCCTCACTCTGGCATTAGGCTTGGCTTAAACTAGTTGGTCATAAAAAACACAAACCTTGGAAGAAGCATATTACTCTAAAAACATTTCTAAAGCAGGATCCTCCAAATATTCACAGCAACAAAATGTTGGAGGAGCCTTTCCCAAAGTGAGTGAAACTAGCTCCCCATTTGACCCCCTGACCCCATCAACACAATGGAATGATCCAGGGGGAAGCTGTAGCCTGGAGCTCAACAAATGTGCTCTCTGCTTGAATAAAGTGGATTTCCAGAGCAGCAGTGAATGGTATTTCTCTTGAAAAGGGGTTGAAAAACCAAGTAAGACTGGGAACTATGTGTTATAGAATTAGTTTTTTAAAACTTCAAACTTTCAGGACCAGCTGGGAATGGCCCCCAGTGACCTCTGCACTGCTGGAAAAAATAAATTAGATATGTTACGTGTGCATTGGGCTGGAGCGATAGCACAGTGGGTAGGGTGTTTGCCTTACACACAGCTGACCCAGGTTTGATTCCTCCGCCCCTCTTGGAGAGCCTGGCAAGCTACCGAGAGTATCTCGCCTGCATGGCAAAGCCCGGCAAACTCCCTGTGACATATTTTATATGCCAAAAATAGCAACAAGTGGTCTCACAATGGAGACCTTACTGGTGCCCCTTAAGCAAATTGATGAACAACGGGAGGAGAGTGCTACTGTGCTTACATGTACCTTATTCCATTCTGCAACTGTCATAAGTTGCTGATACAAGTAACAACATTTACATAACATAAAGAATTTTTTTTAAAGGGCCTGTTGATTTAAACAAAGAAGCTTACCGGTTTCCAGAAAGCGAAACAAATACTGAAAAACATTTTCTATAAAATTATTTAAAAATAAGTCTTTCTCACCTTCCCCATTTCACATTGAGCCTTCGGCCATTGACAATCAGCTTATTAAAGGACTTCTCAGCAGCGACTTCTGCAGCCTGCCTTGTGGCAAACTGGATGAAAGCACACTGCTGTCTTTGGACAACAGTAATCGTCCGGATCTCTCCAAACTGATAGAAATGATTCCTGAAGAAAAAGAGAAACAAAAGAACCAGAGTGAGCAGACATTAGCAGGAAGTAAAAAATGGTACAAACAATACTGCAAAGCAGCTGGGCCCATGGTTATATGCCCGATCACCTGCAAATAGTTCCCTCACTAGCAAACTACCATGGATCATGCTGCATACTGAGAGAGGGAAGGAACAAGTCAATTAAAAAAATCTCAGGAATCTTCTCACAAATAAGAGGCATAAGATCCTGAGTAATAGCACAGCATATAGGCTATTTGCCTGGCACGCGGTCAACCCAGGTTCGATCCCTGGCATCCCATATGGGTAACTCCTGAGCACAGCTGAGTGTGGCCCAAAAATAAAAAAAATAAATAAAAATTTAAAAAAAAAAAAGAGGAGGAAACAAGGTATGAGTAGAGTCCTTCAGGATATCACCCTAGATGGGGTTTGAAAAACGACACTTCCACATACTAAGAATATTTAAATTTTTTTTAAGGTTCTAAAAAAGAGGAAGGAGAAGAGGCAGGGAAAAGTCTATCAATCCTGTATCTTATCTAGTTCAGTGGTTCTTAACCTTCTTATTTATATCTGCAGATCAGCAGCAGTCACCAAAAACCACTGGTCCAGTTTATTCTGACAGTGTATAACAGAAATATGCTACCAAAAGCAGGTTATACACATATAGGAATTTTTTTCTAATAATGTCATTATTAGTCATTTAGTCATTTCCATAATAAGTTCATTTCCATCACCACCTGTTGCAGTATCTCATTCAAACACATAAAATACGGGCCAAGAATACAAACTTACCAAACATCAATCCTTTTCTGTAATTTGTTTTTGTTTTGGGTTACACCCTGCAGTGCTTGGGGAACTATAGGGGGTGCCGAGGAATGAACCCAGATTGGCTGCATGCAAGGAAAGCCCCTTATCTGCTGTACTACTGCTCTAGCCCAATAACATATCCTTTCAAGTCAATGATTTGGGCTGGAGAGTACAGTGGGTAAGGCAAGGCACTTTCTCTGCACACGGTTGACCTGAGTTCAATCCCTGGCGCTGCATATGGTCCCCTAAGCACCACCAGGAGTGACTCCTAAGCAGAGCCAAGAGCACACCCTCAACACCACAGGATGTGGCCCCAAAACCGAAGGAAAAAAAGGGCAACAACTTAAGGCGGGAAAGAGACTACTCAAGGGTCTAAGCACATGCACTGAACACAGAAGGCCTGAGTTTGAGTCCTGGCACTACCTGTACCCTGAGCACAACTGGGAATAGCTCCAGGATTACCAGGTATGATCCCAAACCCAAAAATACAACAACGAAAAACTTAAAAGAAAAGCCAACAAGCGACCGGAGCAATAGTAGAGTGGGTGGTGTGGCCGACCCAGCATCCCATATGGTTCCCTAAGCACCGCCAGGACTAATTCCTGAGTGCAGAGTCAGGACCGAGCCCCAAGCATCAGCAGGCACACACCCGCCCAGCCCCAGCCTCCCGAAACTCCAACAATTTAAAGAGTAAGACTATACCATTGCAAATCTTCCCCCTACCTGACCCCCATTAGATAATGATTTAAATAGAGCCCTCCCTAAAAATTTTTAACTGGCTAGTAGGTCAAATAGAAACTTGTAATTATCACCATAGGTCAGGCAGACAAAGCAATGTAATGTTGATAAATAGTACATTCTGGTGGGCACAAAGGCCTGGTGCACACACTGTGCACACAGGAGACCTGGGATCACATGGTTCCCCCGAGCATTGTCAGGAGTGGCCCTGAAGTAATGTGCCAGAAGTGGCCTCTAAGCACCAGAGGGTGTGGTCCCAGAGCCAAAACTCCAGTCTGCATGATACTAAATATACAGTGGCAAAATGTAGTGGTTCGAGTGACAGCACGGCAGGCATACAGCAGGTAGTGCTCCTGTCTTGCACGCAGCTGACCCAGGTTCCATCCCCGGCACCCCTTATGGTCCCCCGAGCACTGCCAGGAGTGACTCCTGAGTGCAGAGGAAGGAGTAACCCCAGAGCATCTCCAGGTTTGACCCAACACAAAACAACAAAATGTACAAAGTTACAATACTTGCCTATATTTGTGTGAAGAAATTATTCTAGGATTATTAAAAATAAAAAAATGTCCATTAAATTTTATCTACAAACCTTAGATCTGTTTCGGTAATGGTGTCCCCCAGACCACCAACATAGAGTGTGGTGATAGTCTTATCCTCTGGCGGGTCCAGACGGGGCATTGTTGATGCCCGCTTTAAAAGTTTGTCTGCCACAGGGTCATTGATCCCATAGTACCGGTCTTTAATATTCTGATCAGCAAGGGGGTCATCTGGATCTGTAGGCTTCTCATGTCTGGTTCAAGAAAGAACGATGGTAAAACATAAAAGTAAGCAAAGGGGAGACATTTACAAATATTTCATCTCCTCAGTGACAGCAATGTAAGTTCAAATACAATGCCTTTTGAACTAAAAATCATAGCCAAACCAGAATACAATAAAAATAAAGCTAGTATCAGTAGGACATAACAGTCTCCTAAAAGCCATTTTACGTATCCATCTAGTTTTATTATAAAAGAGCTGTTTTTTAGCACAATCTAGCTCCCAAATCAAGGTTATTATCTACTATTATTTCTACAGTTTTTAATCTGAGTGCTCAGCTGTTGTTTAAGTTATGGAACCAACCTTAAGAAAAGGTACACTTGAGCCCTGGGAATGAATGGCTCAGTTACGAAAAGCATCGACCCTGCAAACATGAGATTATGAGTCTGATTCCTGGGACCACCCAGGGGCATGTTGGGTCCCTACGCTCTGGCCTGCCAAGTGCCACAATGGCCATGTAATCTCTGCACATCTAGCTGTGCATGTCCACAACGAAGAGTCTGCGATTCCCAGTGAGCACCAAAACTAATGCTGTGCAAGCACTGTGCCCAAAAGTGGTGCTCCCAGAATGAATGCACTGCAGCGACTCCCATGGGCTCCACAACCAAAATGGCTATGAACACAACTAAATGAGTATATAAACCCTATTAAGCAAGGGTGCGCCTCCCTGTAAAACACTGCAGTCCCCTGAGGGTACCGTGACCAAGTGTGCAAACAAAACTATGTATCTGTGACCCCTGGTCACGGCCAACAACAGCAACAAAGGGAAGGGGGAAACATTAAGGAAAACCATAGTCCTTAAAAGAAAGTAAAAGCATATACAGGGGCTGGTCCATTAATACAGTGAGAGGGACCTCTACTGTGCACATGGCAGTCCCAGGTTCAATCCCCAGCACCCCATTTGGCACCCTGGGCCTGCCAGGAATGATCCCTGAACGTAGAGCCAGGAGTAAACCCAAGTACAGCCGTGGTCCTAAAACCAAAAAGAAAAGTGTGTGGACTTTGCTTTGTTGTTGGGGGTAGATTTTAAACCAAGAACCAGTTAAGAATTCCTAATCCAGAGCTGGAGATAGTAGTCTGGGTGCCTTGCACTCAGTCAATCCCAGTTTGACCCCTAGCTCCTTACAGTGTACCCTCCCAAGCCCTATCTCCTGCAGTGATCTCTGAGCAAAGCCAGCAGAAGTCTCGAATACTGCTTGGTGTGACCCCAAAACAAAAAAAAAAAAAAGGAAAACCACATCTATTATGTGGCCCTGTGATTTCGTTTGATGTAACACATACTGCACTAGTAATATACACCTTGAGATTTTAATGCAGAACTAGTCTGAGGCAGCATTTTCCACATCTAAGCAGCAAGCAAGTACTGAAAATGGGGTTGAGCTCTTGCCTGTATGGACACTCCTCTCCTCTCTTACACTCTCCTTTTACCCAGAAGGAGCAAATATGGGGTCGATTTCTTTTATAGTAAGGTGTGGTCCGCGCCAGCTTGAGAAGCATATCACTGGTGGAAGTGGCTTTCCCGAGCATGCCGACGGGCCGTGTTCCATCTGAGTTAGAAATCTACACAAAGATAAATCAAAAGAGGCACGTTACATAAGTCCTGTCAAACCACTAAGATGCTTTCATTAGCAAATTAAAACGATGGCATGAAGGAAGCGGCAGCATACCTCTCTCTCCATATTCTGCGTGTAGTACTCTTTGTTGACATCAGACTTGGGCATATCATCCTTAAACGACAGCCCTGCATCACGAACCTGGATGGGCAGGCCTGGTACCAAGGACAGGGGGAAAAGAAGGTCACACTCCGACAGATAGAGCAATAGCACAACAGATAGGGCCCTTGCCTAGCACACTCCCAACCTGCGTTTGATTCTCGGCACCCCAGGAGTGATCGCTGTGTGCAGCAACAAGAGTGAGCCCTGAGCATTGCCAGGTATCACTCCAAAACCAAAACAATAAATAAAATACCCAGGGAGCTGGTGTGCCAGTACAGTGGGTAGGGTTTGCCTTACATGTGGCCGACACGGGTTAGGTCCCCAGCACCCCACTTGGTCCACTGATAACCGCCAGGTGGATTTCCTGAGTGCTGGGCCAGGAGTTACACCTGAGTATCACTGAGTGTGGCCCCAAATCCAAAATAAATAAACATCCATGCAGAACAGGCACATGGGGAACATCCATGCAGAACAGGCACATGGGGAACGTTTCCACAGAACAGGCACATGGGGGAACGAACATCCACGCAGAATAGACACATGAGCACAGCATCAGTTTCCTTTCTTTACTTTCCTATTTGGTTCCAGACATTTTCTCGTTTTCACTTTAAGTCTTTAACAGCATCATGCAAATACTATTATAGTCTAGTCAACTTCCAAATTGGCCTGAAATCTGATCAAGTGAGTATTTTAGAAAATCTTGTTTTTTGTTCTCTTCAGAGAGGACAAAAGCAACCAAAAAAACAGAGATAAGTGAGATATGTGTTCAAAGAGAACATGTGTTTGAAGAGCAAGCTAGACAATCTTAGGGATGAACAAACTGAGGTTATAGTCATATTTGACTTAACAGTTAATATTTAGCTAGTGTATCCCCGTTTATTTAAAGTAAAGGTAAAATTGCTCCAACTCTAGGCTGGCCCTATAGTCTCTGGACAGCCACAGTTCTAAGAGCTAATGAATTCCAAAATTCCAAAACACCTTAAACCAACATGTACTATTAAATGATATGGGACTAGGATGATTAGGAATAACTTTCTGGTGGCCAGAGTGATAGCATAGTGGGTAGGGCATTTTCCTTGCATGTGGTCCACCTGGGTTTGATTACCGGTATCCCATATAATCCCCTGAGCACCACCAGGAGTAATTCCTTAATGCAGAGCTAGGAGTAATACCTAAGCATCTCGGGTGTAAAGCCAGAAAAAAAAAAAAAAGAGTAACTTTCTGAACTTAACATACATAGAGTAACTCATTTTCCTTTTTACTCTGATACTAAAAAAGGTCCTAAACCCAGAAACAGAGAGAACAATGCCTTTACTTCATGTTCAATACAGAGCTGTGAATAAGGGTTGTTTACATTAACTATAATTAATTTCCAATCTATGAATGTTAGTTACCAATTACTGTTACTTATTAATTCCTACTTTGTTAAAATGAACTGTTAAAGGAGAATATGGTTCTCCTCTTTCTGGGAAAAACGACTACAGTGACAGTTCACAGTGGAACTAGAAATAGAGACAGAGTAAGAAGCAGCAGCAGGAGAGACTGTGCTAATGCCTAAGTACCAGTCCTTGCCCACTTTGCAATCCACTAGACAGGGCCAGGGTGTGGCTCTGTGGCAGATCACTAGTCTTGCAGGTGCGAGGCCCTGGGTTCCACACAGGGCACTGCAAGAAACAAAAACAAACAAACAAACAAAAAAAAAAAAACAAAAATAAAACCCCAACCAAACAAACAAAAAACAAAACCCCCCAAAAAACCCTAGAGCCAAGAATAAAAACAATTTCATTTGCACCAATCTACCAAACAGAGGGACATACCATACTCCAGGTCCAACAGGCAGGTTTGGCAGACATTCTTCAGTTTGCTGCAGGTCTGGCACACTTCGGTCTTCTTGAAACGCATACGAACTCCAGGACACCAGCGAAATACTGTGAAGGGTCTGGCACAGATCTTTAAATCAAAATAAGAGCCAGAGTGTTACTAGTCCTGACCTGGACAAACAATTCTGGGGTTTACTAAAGACATAGAATTCAGAGATGGGGTCCTTGCCTTCTCAGCTAAGATGCTCATATTCAGAGACATGTAGCACTTGATATAAAACTGAAGGGAGCATAGTACAGCGAGAAGGGTGCCTGCCATGCATAGGGCTGCACTGAGTTCCTCCCCCAGCACCCTATTTGGTCCCCTGAGCTCCAACAGGAGTGATATATGAGCACTGGAAGGTGTGGCCCAAAACCGAAAGTTGCAGGGAGTTCAAACATCATCCAGGCCATTAAAGGACTCACTTGCTTTGGGGTTTTGGGGGAGGTGGAGGGTGTTGATAATACAGGGAATAAGGCCCCACCCAGCAATCCCAGCACTCATGGGAGTACTCAAACGACACCCCCTCCCCCCTCCAAAAAAAAAAATAAACGGTTTATTTTCAAATCACTCGGCACACACTTACTTTGCATTCCTTTCCATACTTCTCTTTGGTCTGAAATACAAAAGAACTGTAATTTAAAAAAAAGGATAAAAACATAGGAGGCCAGGGGAGTGTATATTCTTCTACATAATGTAATCTCTTAAAACCTCAATGGATGCAATACCAGGGTATGTGTCTTCTTACAGCTACAATTCTTACTCACTTTAGGCTCCTAAACTCTCTCCCAAGTATTCAAATTCCTAATAGTTTCCACATCCCTGGTACAAAGTTTAATCAGAAGGCAATCACTATAGTTTCCTTGTGCTGGCTCCCAATGGGCCATTCAAGATCCTGAATGCAGTGGCTGGAGAGACAGTACAGCAGTTAAGGCCACCTGCCTTGCCGGCAGCTGATTCTAGCTCAATACCCAGCACCCAATACAGTCCCCAGAGCACAGAGCCAGAAGTGCCAAGCATCAATAGTTATGGTCCCAAAACACACACAAAAAGGAGACTGAACGGATCACTGAATGTATGAACAGGAACACCTCTGAGACCCATCACAGCACAGCCTCTAAGTGTTAACTGCCACTAATCCTACCCTGATTCCTAAAAGAAAAGAAGGTACAATAAAGAGTCAAGGTACAGTGGCCAAAACTCATTTGCTTCGGAGTTCGGAAACCTAGTTTCCCCTGTCTTGGTTCTCTTTACATACTGAGGCTCCAGAAACCTAAAAACTCTTGAAAAGGTAGTTGATGATGAGACATCAGCTCTCGTCGCCTCTGATGCATCCACCACCCGGGTCCCTGCGAGGAGTTAAGCTACTGGTGTGTTCCCCCGACGATGTGCAACTGTGGCTGAGCTTCCCAATGCGAGCTCGGCAGCCCCGTGCACACGGCCCCTGGCCTCGGGCGGGGTGGGGGGAGGGGGACGCCGGGTCCCTTGTGCCGGCCAGGCCCAGCGCGGCGGGCACCGGCCCGGGCACGGTGCGTGGACCCGAGCGGAGCGGCGTCGCGCGCGGCATCACTCACCATCCGGATATACGGGTTTTCTCCAAGACACGTCTGGCACAGAATCGGGAAGTCCTGGTGACAATGGGGACAGGGTTGGTGGCGGGGCGGCTCGGGGACCCCCGGGCGGCGGCCCAGGGCGACCGGGGGCGCAGGGGCGCGCGGGCGGCCGGCGGGCCCGCACCCACCCGGGGCCCTCGCGTCCCGCCCGGCCGCGCCCGGCCCCCGCCCCGCAGCCCCACAGCCCCGCGGCCAGCGCCGCAGCCCCGCCCCGCCCCGCCCGCGCGCGAAGCCGGGACCCGCCGCCCCTCCGCGCCTTTCCCCCGCAGCTCCCTCACCGCGTCCTCCCAGTTCTGCCTGTTGTACGTGTTGGAACCCAGCGAGGTCGCCATCTTGAGCGCGTCCGGAGGCGGCGGCGGCTTCCGAGTCGGGACGGACACCGCCACAATCCCGTCAGGCCCCGCGGCCGTGACGCCTTATGTAGGCGCCCCTGCGAGCGCGCATGCGCGCGCCCTCCCTTCGTGGCAGGGTTTTTGCGTCTGACGTCACTCCGTTGGTTTGACTTATGCTCACCTGATCTGAGTTAGAGGTACCAACTTCTGATGGTGTGGCTAATGACAATGGTAGGACTGTTCCTACTTATCCAAACACGTGGATAACAAATGATGATAAAAATGTTTTATCAATTCATAACCAGCTTCCAATATTTTATGATATTTAGGTATTCTGAAACAATTGGTAACTTTAAATGTATCTGTTGGATAACACAGGGTTGTTCTTGCTCCTCCCAGGAGCTTTAGGTTTATCCAGCTACTTCCACAACAGTGTCCCCAAGGCACACCCAATTCCACCAAGCACTAATAATTCTATATTGCTTTTCTCTTTCTTTATGTCATTTGCATGGTTTATTTGGCAATGCCCTTTTTGTAAGGCCATAGGAAGATAGTTCAGGCTATGCTTTGTAATATGGAAGTTAATTGACTCCAAAATAATATTTACTCCTGGGCATGCATAATTCCTTGACTTTAGCCTCAGTTGCCCTTAGTTCCTAGCACTCCAAAAGTAGGGTCCCGATGAAGGGACTGAATGGACACAGGGCAAGTTGTAAGCTACCCTGGCAGAGAAAGGAGACAAGCTGAGTGCCATAAGTACAGTCATGGAACAAACTTTGTCATGACTCAAAATAAAGTAACTGAATAAGGACCCTGCTGGGGTTAGGAAAGACTAACCTGGCCTGAGGACTGTCATCTGGAATATATAGTGAGATGTCCCCAGAAAGAGCCTGTTGGGAGCCTGTGCTAGTTAATATTAAGAAAGTCGTTGTCCTGGAGACGTGTTGTCTAAAGGCTGGTTTATAGGAACCGTTGTCTTGGGGTTACACAATCTAAGGGCTGACTTTGTTTTTCTAGCTGGCTCTTTCCCGGGTCTTATGGCAGAACATGTTGCTAAAGTGTATCAATATATAACCAAGGAAAACATCATGAAACTATGTAACTATAGAAAAAACATCATTGACCTCTAGAAGCCCAGTACATTCTAAACTTACGTATCCTTAAAGTTCCTGTATATTTTTCCAATGTCTGTTTCCTTCTGGAGACCTATAAAAAGTCTGTTGCTTGTTCAATAAAGACACTGCATGAGCATTGCTTGCAGCTCTCCTTACCCCGTTGCCCTTCTCCCTCTGCCTCCGGGACCCTGTTCGACTTAGCCATGTGGGATGCAGCAAGAGCCAACCTTTAAGTTTAACATATATCTCTTACTGTGTTCATACAAAATGGTTAGAAATATTATAGGACGTAAAGTTACTGATTGTTTAAATGGATTACTATCTGAGGAAAGGAGAAAGCAATACACCCTGGATGGTATCCCACCCTTGAGCAGATCTCCTAGTAATCTGAAGTGCTGAACCTTCAGATGAGAGTTTATCCTTGAGCTAATCTCCTAGAACTTCCCCTGAAGAAGTGGCTTTACCTCTGTTTGTCGTTTTGACAATGTTTAACCCCATCATATAACTATATAACTATGCTGTAAGGGAAAAGAAGAGACTTTGGGACTTTGAGGACAAGAATACAATGACTATGAGGAGAATATGAGACTACGAGGAGACTAGGATGATGGAACTATGATGACTGGGACTATGACTTAAACTACAACTGTAATTGTGCAGTAAGGGAAGAGATCAGACTACGCTGGGGAGGAGAGTGAAATAAACTGATTGCCGACCAGCCTGGGGCCCAGGGCAAGTTTCTTCGTTTCTCCGGTCCTTAGTCCTTCCATCGCCATGGGGCGGCCAGGGGAACGGTTCTTGGCCACCGAATGCTCGAGTTCCTCCCGTGCCCACCGTGCCTTTTCTTTGAAATTCACATGTATTCAATATTTTGTTACCTCATTTTAATCAAGCTTAGATAAGGTACAATTCCTATATAGTAAAATTTATCAATTTTACAGAATTTTGCTTGCATTCAGCGATCACGATCACGACCATCCTGTTATTCGTCGATTGCCTCGAGCAGGCCCCAGTAACGTCTCCTTCGTCCTAGCCCTGAGATTTTTTAAAAAGTGCCAAATTCAAGGCTCTTTCAGAGTTAGGAGAATGAGCCCCATCACTGTTACTGGTATTTGGCTTATTGGGTACGCCACGGGGAGTTTGCCAGACTCTGCCATGTGGGCAGGTTACATTCGGTAGCCTGCCAGTTTGTCCAAAGTAGGAATGAGATAATAAGATGTTGCTTCCAGGAGCTGGGTTTTATAGTCTCTGAGTCTTGGCCGTTGATGGGATTACACGGCGCCAGGGGGCCAGTTGGTGGGTGTGACCCTTGCCTACTGGAATTTGTAGGATCTGGGTGGAGGATGCTCAGCCCCGATCCGAGTAGGCTTGGAGATCTCAGCCCCGGGACCCGCGTGCCTTTGTTCCTCTGCTGGTACCTTCATGTATGCGGAGAGTGGTCTCAGCATGGTGGTGACTGGTTCTGGAGGTCTTCGGCTGCCGGAGCCCTGGTCGGGGTGGGGAGGAAAACTCAACCCGCTCTCCTCCAAGGGGCCCCAGTGAGGACAGCCAGGCGCGGGGGCAGGAGACTCTGCATTCAAAATTAATAGAGAAATGCCCTATCAACCCCAAAACGCCCTTGCCCTTCCTTCTTGGATTATAATCCTCAGCATTTTAGGTTTAACATTGCTTTGTATATGTAAGTGAAATATTGCTTTTCTCATTATGTCGTTTGCATAGTTTATTTTAGAGCAATGTCCTTTTTATATAGACACAGGAAAGCAGTTAATGTTATGCTTTTTTAACATGGGAGTTAACTGACTCCAAATAATATTTATCCTGGTCATCCATTACGTAAGCCTATTGCCCTTAGCTCCTAACACCCCAGATGGTGGGTCGTGCAGAGAGTTGCATGGACCCAGGGTAAGCTGTAAACTACCTTGGCTTCAAGAAAAGGATAGCCTAAGCACCATAAGAAGCACGGGGGAGGGACAGAGAGAGGGGGAGAGAGGGAGAGAGAGAGAGAGAGAGGAGAGAAGGAGGGGAGAGAGGAGAAAGAGAGAAGGGAGGGAGGTGAGAGAGAGAGAGAGAAAGAGAGAGAAGAATGTGTGGATGTGGGGATGGGGGCATAGTGGAACGGAAATGTACATGGGTGAAGGGATGGATGTTTAGATGTTGAAACATTGTAACCCCATCAGGAAAAACTTCGGAACTATGTATCTCAGGGTGATTTAAAAAACCTGGTGAAAAAGAACAACCAGTGCTGAGTTTTTCAGCAGATGCATTTTCTGAGTGGGGGAGCTCATCCCAAGCCTATGGAGATCAGCAATTAGCAATTGGGTTCTGGAGGTTTTTGACTGCTGGGATTTTGTTGGGGTGGGAGATGGGTTCACCCGCCCTCCTCCGGGTTGCCCTACTGGCTCGGGGTGTGGAGGCATCTCTGCTGCTTGTTGCTCTCTTCAGAGATTTGTGAGTCTCTGGATCATGTGGCCAGAGGCCTAGGTTCCTTGGCCTGCCTTCCAGATCCTGGGAGAACAGGGAAATGGGGGTAGGTTGCCTATTCCTGACTCAGTGTGAACTTGTAAATTTCCATCACAAAACCTGCATATCTGAGTTTTTCAGCATATATATATTCTCATGTGGGGAGACTCATCCTGAGCCTGTGAAAGTTGGCCATGAGCATTGTGGCAATTGGGTTCTGGAGGTTTTTGGCTGCTGGGGCTCAATTGGGGCAGGTGTTGTCTCACCCGCCCCGCTCCAGGGTGCCCCGATGACACAGGATGTGAAGGCATCTCTCTCCTCATTGTTGAGTTAAAAATATATATCCCTTTAATTTTTGAATTTTATGTCTTCTTATTTTATTTTCATTTTGCTTTTTGGGTCACCCTGGCGATGCTCAGGGGTTACGCTGGCTCAGGTATTAACTTCTGGCTGTGCTCAGGGGGACATATGGAATGTTGAAGATTGAACCCCGGTTGACCGCATGCAAGGCAAATGCCCCACCCTCTGTCCTATCGCTCTGCCCCTGTTGAGTTTTATGTGGGTTAATGCTGGTTCCAGTTAATATTTAAAAAGTGATATATCCAGTTGTTTATAACAGAAGGCTACTGACAATACCTTTGTTTTAGACTGTTTTTCTTACTACTTGGCGCTATTAGACTATGACAAGGGGGTTTTGATCTAGTCACTCCATTTAGCTGACTAAGATGTATGACTGCATAAGGTCGTGAAGTATGTTTGGTGCACCCACTGGCTTCAGTATGAAGTGTGTTCAGTAAGAATCAGTTTGGGGTTTGGCTAATTAGCTGTCAGGCTCCCAGCTCTAAGGTTTTCCATCTGGAGCCGGGTCCTGGTGAGAGGGAATGGGTAGGTGGAGTCTCAGTGCCCAGAAACCCACACCTGGATTTGGAAAAATTGAAATTCTCGATCTAAAGATCTATTGGGAAAAATGAAATTGTTAACACCTGATAAATACCTCACCGGCAGACCTCTACTACCTCTACTACCTCCACTACCTCCACTACCCCACTGCCGCCACGCTCCAGGATGCTTCCCGGACGCTCCGGCTGAGACTCACGCACGACTGAAACCCCACAGAACAAGATAAGCGGAACTCTGAGACCTTGGACTCCAGGTTCAATGGACCCGGGGACAGAGATTCTCTGCTTGCTCCCACCAACCACAGGTGACGAAGGGATTAAAATCAGGAGCCCCACCCTACCCTGCCCTGTCTGCTTCCACCAAGGCCAGAGACCCAGGGATTGGATTGCCCACAGAAGACCCACCCTACCCCTACTGCTACCAGAAAAATACCTCACCGGCAGACCTCCACTGCCTAGCCGCCAGGCCGCGTGGCCGCTTTGCGGCCACATGACACATTATAAAACACTTAATATCCATCTTCCAGAATTGCCGCACCTTGTTTGATAGGGTTCAAATATGGTTTGAACCATGGGAACACCAACAAGGGCGA